ATGGGCAGTCTAACCCGATCACGTACTACCTCGAAGAATTGCCCGGTGGGGCCCCCAACTCTGTCATTTCCCTGCTGTTCCGTGCACAAATGGCGAACTTCGACGTCCGCCATATCCTGGTTGACGGAGGGAGTTTGGTGGATATCATGTATACCCATCTATTCTCGATGTTGCAGCTCGACGAGACCAACCTGACCCCTTATGTCGGCTCCGACCTCTAGGGGTTCAACGGGACGACAACGAGACCGTGGGGATATGTGAAGCTCAAGGTCACCTTCAGGGCACATGAGACGGCTATGGAGATCAACGTTCTCTTCCTGGTCGTCGAGTGTCCATCCATGTACAACTGCATCTTAGGCAAGACGATCCTGGCAGAGCTCACTGCAGTGCCAGGTCCACCTTAAGATGAAGTATTACACCAGGCAGGGAGTCGTCGTCACCCTCAACGGGGACATAGAGGCCGCCCGAAGATGTTTCGAGGCAGCAATGAAGGGCCTCAGCACGATTGGTCCTTCTCCTAAAGCGATCAAGCCTCCGCCCATGTAAGAGCACAGGCCAAAGGACCACGTCGACGTCGTGGACCTCGATTGCCGCTTTCCCGGTGAACAGGATCACAAAGACAAAGCCGATCACACTCCTCCAGCGGTCAATGGACAGCCCTTCCATTCAATGTGCCCCATTCCAGACGGGGACTTCGAGCTAGTATCCCTTGTGAAGATTTGAGCTGGACTGCCCGATCTGGCGAAGAAGCAGCTGAAAGCCTGCCTCCGTGAGAACGCCGACCTCTTCGCCTGGAGCGCCACCGAGATGCCCGGCCTTGACCCTGAGGTCGCCTGCCACCAGCTCTCCACCAACCCAGCCGCGAAGGTCGTAGTACAACGTAGGCGTAAGCAGTCCCTCGAAAAGTCAATGGTTGCTGAAAAAGCTGTAAAAGACCTCCTAGAGGCAAATTTTATTTCGGAAGCCCGGTATTCAACCTGGCTATCCAACGTTGTACTAGTCAAAAAGAGTAATGGGAAATGGATAATATGTGTTGACTATATGGATCTTAACCAGACATGTCCCAAAGACGCCTATCCCCTCTCCAATATCGACAAGCTCGTCAACAACTCAGCGGGTTTCAAATTATTGTCCTTCATGGACGCCTACTCGGGGTACAACCAGATCCCCGTGGCTGAGACCGACAAACAGAGCACGAAATTCATGACCGATTCGGGCAACTATTACTATAACGTAATGCCCTTCGACCTAAAGAACGCCCGCCCCACCTATCAACGTATGATGAACAAGGTCTTCCGGAGAGAGATCGACAACATGCTCGAAGTTTACATGGACGACATTCTCCAAATCGTGTACCGAGGTCGAACACACGGCCCACCTCAAGAAGGTATTCGAAACAGCTAGGAGGTGCAAAATGCGATTTAACCCGGAGAAGTGCACCTTCGAGGTATGCACAGGAAATTTCCTCGGGTTTTACCTGACCGAACGAGGGATCGAGGCGAACCCGGATAAATGTTGGGCATTCTCTGAGATCGCAACGCCAAGCACGAAGAAGTCGATCTAGTCTCTAAATGGGATGCTTTCCTCATTGTCCTGCTTCGTCGCCAAATCTGCACAGCATGCCCTCCCATTTTTCAAACTACTAAGGAAGGAGGTCGCATTCAAATGGACGGAGGAGTGCGAACAAGCCCTCCTCCACCTCAAATGCGTCTTATCGGAGCCACCAGTCCTGACGAGACCATACGTCAGGGAAACCCTCTACCTATACCTGGTCGTTTCCACTGAGGCCGTCAGCAGCGTACTAATCCGAGAAACTCCTGACGGACAGAAGCCGATCTACTTCACGAGTAAGGCCCTCCACGGCCCCGAAGTGAGGTACCAGCAGATCGAGAAAGTCGCCATGGCCCTCGTCAACATGGCAAGAAGGTTGTGACACTACTTCCTATCCCACATCATCATCGTCAGAACTTACCAGCCTATCAAACAGCTGCTCGGTAGGCCCGACATGTCGGGGCGCATGTTGAAGTGGTTGCTAGAGCTCTCAGAGTTCGACATCGTCTACGAAGGCAAGAAAGCACTCAAAGCACAAGTAATGGCCGATTTCAACGCCGAGATGACCCCCACCATGGAACCAACGCCCTGAGCCCACAAGTGGACCATCTTCATCGATGGCGCTTCGAGCTCCTCGGGGAGCGACGTGGGCATTATCCTGAAAAACGAGGAAGGCATGGTCGTGGAAGTTTCTTTTACCTTGGCCTTCTCGACAACGAACAATCAGGCCGAGTACGAAGCCTTCTTGGCCGGACTCCGCCTAGCAAAAGAACTTGGAGCCAAGGAGATAAAAATCTTCACGGACTCCCAGTTGGTCGCCTCACAGGTCCGGGGCAAGTACCAGGCCAAGAACGACAACCTGGCCGAATATTTAGCCCTTATAAGGGAGCGGATGAAGAGTTTCGACTCTGTAGAAGTACAACACGTTCCCCACGAGCAGAATACCCGGGCGTACGTCCTCTCAAAGCTAGCGAGTACAAAGAAGAAAGGCGGAAACAAATATGTCGTCCAGGAGGTCCTCGCTCGTCCCAACACGGAATTGGCGAAAACAACGCTCGAGGTCAATGCCATTGGGGACAGCGACTTCTGAATGACTGTGATACACGCCTACCTTAGCACTGGTCTCCTCCCTAACAACACGAAGGAGGCCAGCGCTGTCAAACGTCGAGCTTGCTCCTATATGCTGCTCGAGGGCTGATTGTACCGAAGAGGCTTCTCAATCCCTCTCCTCAAATGCATTGATAATGCCCAGGCCCCGAACATCCTGCAAGAGATCCACGAAGGCATCAACGCTCAGCACTTGGGGGGAAGGTCTCTCGCCCAGAAGGCCTTACGAGCAAGATACTACTGGTCGACGATACAGCAGGACGATACAGCAGGACCCTCTCCTCTCTGTGGTCGTTCTCCTGGTGGGGGATGGACATCCTCGCTCCATTTACCATAGGCTCCTATCAGAATAAATACTTGATAGTCGGCGTCGACTATTTCATCAAATGGATCGAGGCCGAAGCCCTAGCCAAAATCACGGCGCACAACATACTCCGCTTCTACAAGAGGAACATCCTCTCTAAGTTCGGCGTCCCCTTGGCCATCGTGACTGACAACGAGACGCAATTCACTAACAAAAACTTCCAAGACTTCGTGACCAAGGTCGGGACAAAGCATCATTTTACCTCAGTCAAGCACCCACAAACGAATGGTCAAGCGGAGGCCGCGAACAGGGTTATCCTGCGAGGTCTAAAGCGAAGACTCGGTGACGCCAAGAAGAGATGGGTTGAAGAGCTCCACAGCGTGCTCTGGGTCTACCTAACGACGCCCCACTCAACCACCGAAGAGACCCCTTTCCGACTCACCTACGGAACCGAGGCAGTAATCCCGGTAGAAATAAGGGAGTCGTCCTTCTGGATGGAATCTCCCCTCGAGGAGAAGACCAACGAAGAAGCCCTCCGAGAAGAACTCGACTTGATCGAAGATATCCGTTCGGGAGCAATTTGCGAAGCCACACTAAAGCAGAAAATTGCCCTTCGCTCCCCCCCCCCCTACAAGTAAAAGGTCATGGATTTAACTCTTTTGCAAATTTCTGCTAACAATTGTGTGCATTTAGAAAATTAAAAATATATTTTCTAAATTTCTTTTTTTACATAAAAAAGAAATTTACTCAATTAATTTTTTATTCTTTTTATTAAAAACTAATTAATTTATATAATTAAATTAGTTTATAAAAAAAGTTGATTCTTCATCGATTTTAAACTGAATTTGAATTGTTTTAATTAAATAGTTCATTTTATTAACCATTTAAGTGATTCAATTTTTTTTTTATGCAATACACTTCAATTCAATTAACCATATTTTTAAATACCCAAAATTTTAGTTCTTTTATTTAACCCCTTAATGTTAAATTAGTCTATATTTTTATCCAAATTCTATTGAATAAGTTCCTACACATATGAACAACGTTATAAATATACCCATTAAATGAATTATTGTGTTCGACTCTAAATGTCAAATAAGTCTCTAACTTTATTTAATTTATATATCAAATAACTCTTGTTGTATAAACAAGCCCAAATTATAAATTTAAGGATGTATGGTTCTTGTCGTTTTAAAATGTAAATGTATTTAGTATTCAATAATAATAATAAAAATAAAATATAGAAAAATAAAATTAATAGTAATAGAGAAGATAGTAAAAGAAGAATGAAGATAGTTTGGAAAGAAAATAGGTCATCTTTTTTTTAATAAAATGAGTTGTCAGGCAACGAAATAAACTAATTGAAAAACATTTGACATATCATGACTAAATTGAAATATTAATAGACTTAGAGATATGTTTTGAGAGTAACTTATATAGAGTAAAATCAATTTGATAGTTTACTCTGTACTACATAACTTCAATTTTTTTTGATGAATAGAACTCAATATTGTTGTCTTTTTTCATATGCTATCTAATTTCAAATGAATCAATTTTATCTTAGATGAACCAACCATGTCAAAATTTACTCCAGTAACATTTCCACACAATCTCACATTGTATCTAATATTGACCGTTTGATCTGTGATCGAATTCAAACTTCAAGTTCAGACGAGTCCACGCCCCTTACCTCATCTTGCTGTTAAAGCAGGAAATCCAGTTCCCCCCTTGTTCTTTAATTGTATACAATTAAAGATGGATTCCATATCATGATATATCAAGATTCTTCAACGTCAACATGTTAAATGCAAATAATAACAATAAAATCCAAATAAATAAAAAGAACCATGATCATTATATTACAAATATTCCAGAAAAGAAAATAGGAGGGGCCTAGATTCATTGTTGTTTTAAGACTTCAGCTGCTGCTAATAACCAGTGAATGTGTTAGAACTCTGATTCTGAAAATGGATTCAACGCCCTTTTTCTTTGAGATCTTCATAGGAAGTGAGTTTTGACTTTGAGTTAAATAGCATCCTTAGCAACAACCACTTGTGGCTCCATTTGACTGGAGATCTTTGTCCTTAAAAATGTTCTTTTTGACCCCTTTGGAACCCTCGGCTATGAGGCTAGGTGTGTCTAAAATCTGGGTGCACAGACAGACCAAAATTTACATTTAAAAAATATATGGTCGTATTCTACGAAGTTAGCATGTTGATAAACATAATTCGAAATATCAATCTGATTCTATGCGTCATCCTTATTTTTAATACCAGCAACTTGTGCAAGATTCAGAAATTATTATTTTGATACCTTAGTGTTTTTGCTTAGAAGAATAGTTAAGGGCATAATGAATATATGCAGCAGATCTATAAGGGACAAAAGTTACGTAAAAAATTGAGCAAATGTATCCTCAACATACCTTCAAAACAAGCTCTTCAAAGCACTGTTGTACGTTAACTCGAGTTTTCGCACTGCATTCAATAAATAGGCAACCATATTCTCTTGCAAAGTCTACTCCCTCTTTCTTTGTCACAACTCTATCACTCTCCTGCAAAGCAAACAGTATCCATCTGCATGTCAACTCTTCTAATTGGACGCATGAGAAACAGTAGTAACATGCTCTAATTCAATGTCCAAATCAGAACAATAATTATATACCAAATGTTGCAGAAGACTGGAGAAGTCTAAGACTCAGAAATTGAAATGATTCTTATAGGACCGTAATGGAAATGGATTTCAGTGTGCAAATGGCATCCTATAGTGGACCACTCAACCTAATTCAATGCTTATATTTTACTTCAGTACTACAATCCTAAAAGAATACAAGGAAAAATGAGGCGAGTGTATGATTGTAAACTTCCTGAAAGAATATACCTTATCCACTTTGTTTCCAACAAGCATCTTGATGCAGTCCTGATTTGTTGAATAAAGGTCTATTTCCTTAGCCCAGATTTCGGAGAGATTTGTAAAAGTATCTCGTCGAGTAACATCGTAAGCTGCAGCAATTTTTAGGAATGAAATGCAGTTAAGGAAAAAAAAAAATCAACAGTACATTTACAGTCTCCTAAGTTCAATGGACCGGTCAACATAATGCATCTATACAGATATACAGGTCATTTCCATGTGAATTCAGTCGATAACTTCAATGAAAATGTTAGTTATTGAATTGCCACGACTCCATTAGATGAAAGAGCACTTACTTAACAAGCCATGGCATGATATAGGCAAGAAAGTATGTTTTAAAGTGTGCACCTGCAATCATGGTTGTAAAACTCGTGGGTAGACTCGTAAGCTCGTATACTCAAACGAGTTTACGAGTCTAGGAAGCAAAAATGAGTAGAATCGTGCATATAATTGTTTTTTGATAGACTCTAATAGACTCGTACAAACTCAATTAGAATAGCGAGTCTATGGCGAGTTTACGAGTCTTAATGTTTTTCAGAAAAAAACAATTTGAAACAAAATCCAAAAAAAACGTACCACATTCCCTAATTTATTTTCCTGAAGTTAATGTTATGCGAGATGATGTTATTGTTATCAATGTTGTGGAAGTTAATGTTGTTTTTACTAATATTGTGCAAAGTGGTGGTGGTGACAATGTTGAATTAGGTGGAAGTGGAACTTCAAGGAATCCAACTTTAATTAATGATGAATAAGGTGTTTCATTTAGGGCAGAGTTTGATGATGATAGTTAAGATACCAAAGAAGATGATAGTGATGATATTGGTGGTGGTTATTTCGCTGGAACTTTGGATGTTTGAAGCCATTATATATATGTGTGTGTGTGTGTGTTTTATGATTTTTTTTTTTGTTAACTTTTTTATGGAGTATGACATTTAAATTTTGATGTTAATTGGTGTTTTATTTTATATATATATATATATATATATATATATATATATATATATATATATATATATATATATATATATATATATATATATATATATATATATATATATATATATATATATATATATATATATATATATATATATATATATTTGTGTCATATATGAGACATTTACAAGTTTATAATTATATAAGTGTGTCATATACGTGTCACTTACAAGTTTTTGAAAGTCATTTTTAATATTTTATAGATTTGTACAAGTTTACGAGTCAAATCTACAAACTCTTTACGAGTGTGAATAGACTCACGAGTCTGACAACCTTGCCTGCAATTATCATATTTAGAATAATAAAGAGTAGTAGTCATTGGAATTACTTAAGGTTTGACGGGACTATAAAAATAGGATACTCGGGACAGAGGAGGTTTGTACATTTGATAGTTGCTGCAGAAATTGAAATCCATTGTGAAGGGGAAAACCCTTAGGAAAAATTATATTCTCCATTTCCTGCTTAATGTTCAATCATATACATAGTACTTATATTCATTTGATTCCATCTTTCTTCCACTACAATTTCTCCGGGTTCCTAACAAATTGGTTGGAACTGCCAAATCTTTTGCTGAGGGAGAAATGAAGGTGGTAGTAGTGTCATTGAAGAAAGCCATGATAATGGATTATAGCCTTGTCTGTGGGAATCTAACATTTATGAAATCAAAAAATGGTGTATCAATAAAGATAAGTTAAAAAGGATGGGATAAGTTAGGTTTGTTAGATAGTTAGAAGGGATTATAAGTAAGGAGTTAGGATAGAATGGGTCATTCCATACATTTGATAGTTGTTATTGAAGGAATATGAAGAGGGGACCCTTGGGGAGAATTCCATTTTCCGTTTCTGTTCAGTTTTCAATAGTACACTTCTATATTTTGTATCACTTGTATACATCTTTCATTGTAATTTCTCTAAGTTGAAAACAAATTGATCATACTTGACAAACTCTCGTAGGGGGAGAAATGAAGGTGACAGTATCATAGAAAGAGGAGACCAATGATCATAGAAATGAAGGTGACAGTATCATAGAAAGAGGAGACCAATGATCATGGATTATAACCTTGTCTGTGGAAGTTTAGCATTTCTGAAATCAAGACATCATATTGGTTCATAAAGATATAGGGAATCAATTGTGATGAACAGATGGGAGAGGTAGGAACCCCTATGATCAAAAAGAGTGTTGAAGGGGTTGGTGTAGCCAAAAAGATGTTACATGAGTCAAGTCTATACAAACAAGGGAAAGTATAGAGCTTTTCAGAGTGATTAAATTGAAAGGAGATGTTCCTTCAACTAAAGCTACAACAATGTTCAAAGTTTTTTCGTTTTCAAGCTTGTGACCAAAGCTGTTATTGAAGGGGGTGGTTTTGTTAGGAAAGTCAAGAGGAGATAAAGTAATTGGGATTAGTTAGACTAGTTTGTTAGAAGGACTTTAATTAGGGAAAAGTAAGATATAGGAGTTCATTATGTACATTTGATTCCTGTTGTGATAGGAGAAGTCCTTTGTGGAGGGAAACCCTTGTGGAGAATTCAATTCTCCATTTCCCGTTAACTCTTCTATATGCATTTCTACTTATTTTATTCTTTCTACCTTTCTCTCATTCCAATTTCTACTGGTTCCTAACAATCATTAGTGTATAGTTAAGTTATGAAGAGCTACATTCATAGTTTTCAACTCTCACAATAAGATTGAAGTGATATTCCAAGATTTCGCATGGGTAATGGAAAATGACTAAAAGGGGCGTGAAGTTTATTAGCATGTAAGTAGTCAATTAGTTAAAGCATGCATGCTCCATAGATGCTCAAGAACATCGTGAAGAGATTGATTTCAATATCACTTCTACACTACTCCTCAACCATTATAGTCACTAATTTCTACAATTTGAAAATATCATCTTTACACAAACCATTTGTTTTGATTATGTGAGGCAACAAAAAAGCTTTAACCATGCATCAAAATCATGACACAACTCAATATGGAAGAATATTGACTTTAACTCCTATTCGCTAAGAACTAACTCCCGTATACAATAATCACATACGACACCAAACTGCCTAACATAACGGAGTAAAGACATAGGCTAATTTTCAAAAGAAAGACAGCCTACTTATCTCTGTCATCACACATAATACAATAAATTTCAATCTAGTTTCTCATGAAAATTCCAAACATTCTACCATGTTAAATTAATCATGACTCGGCGATGCATCAATTAACAAATAAACCAACAAATAAACGAAACGCACCCATAATGATCCCTTGTGCACCTCGGTAGTAAGAACTTGTTAGTGTTCTGAATCTCTCTTGACCAGCTGCGTAATCAATAATCATATGCACATTAAAACATGACTAAAGTGAAACAAAAAAAATAAAAAAGAATAACGAAAAGCTCATACCTGTATCCCAGATAGCAAGCTTCAACTTTTTATCATCAATATTAACATATTTGACCTTAAAATCAACACCTACATTGAAAAATGAAATAATAAACAAAATAAAACAGAAAGCATAAAACTAAAGATGAATGCACTGGTTATGATGAGTATGATAATGAAATTATGCATAAAGTAAAAGAAAGGCACGAACCAATTGTAGGAGAAAGATCTTCGAAAGAATCGGAGGTGAAACAGAGGAGGAGACTACTCTTGCCAACTCCGGAGTCGCCAATCATCAATAATTTGAACAAATAATCGAATTCCTGGGTTGTACTCGATTCCATCGCAATTAACTGAATAGATCATAAAATAATGATTAAATTTAAGAAACAAATTTGAATCTCGGTTTAAAATCCTTTGATTCGAGAATGGATTCAAGGGATTAGAAAAGGATCATTGGCATCAATAATCGAATGAGAGAGAATTGCATACCTAAGAATTAAGAAGATGAAATGATAGAAGAAGAAGAAAGGACATTTGATTGAGAATGAAATTTTAACGAAAAAGGAACCGTGTCCGATTTACCAGGTCGACGTTCCACTATCTTTCTCTATGGAATGTTGATTTGATTGTTTTTTTTTTTCCTTCTTTTCTAGAGAGTAAATAAATAAATGAAATGCACTCAAGTGTTTGTAAAAGTTTACTACACTTTTGAAAATTTAAAATTGTTTTTCATAAGATATCCACCACATTTTGAATAATTAAAATATAATATTTATCTCATTTTAAATAAAATATAATATTTATCTCATTTTAAATATGATATGAAGATACGTCTTGTAGGATATTTGATTAATTTTTATGTATTTTAGATATTTATCTTCAGAATCTTTTCTGAATCATATTAAAAGAACATTATTGTCCAAATATATATTTTTGTGATGTCAACTTATACTAACTTATATTAACATAAAATCAAAGAAAAATACAATTATATGAAAGTTAAAGGGAAAGTAAAAATGCATACATTAGTAAAAAAAAATTAAGAAAATTCATACATAACATTTGTTTGAAAATACATTCAAAAATACATCCCGATATAAACTATTAGGTATGTCTAATCGCTGACCTCTTCCGCTGTCTATATTGCACGACATTCCGCAATTCGGAAATCATGTGTTCCACTAGGGACAATTGGGGATTGGCATCCTCAAATAGTCCTAACTTTATGAATGCTCTACTCATATTTGTAACACGCTGACATACCGATGTGATACTCTCTACTTGCTCATCCCGAACCTCAAGTACCTCTAGGTTAGTTGGCCTAGGTGGTTCTCCAAAAGCGTCTGGTGTCATGATAGGGTGTGACACCCTATTGAACCATGTCAAGTAGCCCTCAACACAATCCCAATGTACATGAGCTAGCTCTTGATGATACTATTTTTGTATTAGGTAACTTTCAAAATTATTTAGTATCGCTTATAGGTCTCCGCGGGGGACGGTGGGAGAAGTAATCCCATATAAAGGTCTCAGAATGATATGCAAGTAGCCAAAATGACGCATCACTCGCTCAGGCATATAGGGATACATAAGAGATGACCCACATTCTAGCCAGCATGAGTATAAAGAAATGACATCAAACAATCGTATTTGGCGGTGACCCTCATATGGGCAGAAACAAACGTCATATGGCACCATACGGTTAATAGGGACTTTAGCCACAACATTCCCCATGTACGGAACAAAGGCGTTTGCACGAGATCAGGCCTCTGTGTAGTTAGGCACAACTTTAAACTCGATGGTACAACGGAAGTGGGTGATAATTCATCCCTAAAAAAGGTTCGGATACAATATTAATAACAAATGTAACAAATGAATTAAGAAAATATTAGTAATAAGAAATTACTGTAAGCAACGTGCAGCACCCCGACATCTACTTTGTCTTCTAAAGACAAGTCTCGCCTAGCTTCGAGTATAGGTAGACCAAACAGACGGCTCCGAGTTGTACTTGTGAATTGCACGCAGGTTTATGAAGTACTTGAGGTAGACCACATCGACATATGTTGCACTTTTGTCCACAAACATGGATGTGTCATAGAAAAAAAAGAGATATCACCTTAATGCGCAATGTCGGTGGTACTCAACCTGCACGCCGTTATTAATGGCATCCAAAGCCTCGTTCACGTATTCTTTATAAAGATTTTCCAAAAATCTAAATTGTGCATGAGCACCTATAATGCGAGTTTCCTCCTTTGTCACCTTAATTAACAGGGTCAACTTTTAACAGGGTGACCATCAGGTTTACCCCTTCCTCTTGTCTGACCCTGCCATGGTCCGATAATTTCCCCCGATGAGAAGATGAAATAGTCATGAGACATCACCCAAACTGATGGTCATCTCACCTATAGATAGGTGGAAAGATGACATCTCTGAGTGCAATTTATGCTCTAACAGACCCAAAAAACCTCAATGCATATTCTAATAGTCTATCAATTTTATTTACAGTACTATCTAATGTACCTAAGACAATTAATGTATCCTAAAAGTATAACTAAAAATTAAAACATAAAAAGATAAGAAAATTTGAAAAACTTACCAAAAGAAATTGATTGATGAGAAAGAGCAGTTGATTGTTATGAGAAGATGGAAAAAAACTTCAATGATATAAGCTTGATTAAATGGATGTAAAGGCAAAATTATTACAGAGCTCAAATGACTTTTTTTTTGAACTTTTGAGAAAATGAAGAAGGAGGAAGTGGGAAGGGTCTGACGCGTGATATTAAAGAAAAGTATCTGGAGATACATCTTCGGGCCACCCGCTAACTTTCAAATAATTTGTGTTTACGAAGATGTATTTTCGGACGCGCTTTCTTCACATACAGAGATGCATCTCCAAATTAAATTTTTACGTTAAAATGGTGACTCTTCAATTTGGTCTAAAAAATTACTAAAATAGGTGCGTACGGAGGTGCATCTCTAGATGTTAGAGACATTGTGGACTTTTTACAGTGGTGTGTGAGCACCCATAAAGGTGGAAAGAGCATCCCCCCATTTTTTATTGAAGAGGGTCAAAGCCCATTAAGATTTACACATGAATATCCCTCTTAATGGAGGTACCCCTCAAGTCTTCAACATATAAATTATGCACCCCCTATAACAAGAATAAAAAATGTTAATGCCTAAGTTATGTCTTGCTTCTATTTTGCCAAACCATCAGCACAACTGTTCTACTCTTTAAAAACGTGGATGCAACGATACTCTAACATTTTCTGCAGCTCCTGTTGAATTTGGTGCACCAGAGCCATACCAATGTCCATCTCTTGATTCTCCTTAGTGATAACATCATGAGCATCCTTCGAGTTTGTTTGGATAATCACTCTCATCAACCAACTATTGTTAATCAACTTGATTCCCTTGAGGATTCCTCACGATTATGATACCTTCACTATGCATCTTCTTATCGACTTAGTGAAGCCTCTAATCCACTTTCATATGTTGTCCTTATGATCCCACCACAACCAGCATTTTAATTTTAAAAAATGACCTCGTCTACATTAAGCATCACCCAGTTATCTTCAGGTTGAATACACTGAATATGTTTGGTTACTTTGATGCTCTTAGTAACTTTTTGTAGCAACTGCACGCTTGCCATATATTGTTGTAGTTTGTCCTTGATTATTAGAATTATGTCATTTGGCATGATATAATCAACTACATGGATTTTTTGGTTTCTCCAATTCCATATAACATGGCATGTAATTACCCATATTGCCTGCCAATTACATCCTGCCTAGTTGTTAATGCTTTTTTGCATATTAAGTTGTAGCCATTATTGGGCATTTGTCCTGAAGAAAGTTTCCCATTGAGTATTATCTATTAATGCTACTCATATGTGTCGTATTGTGTGACATTCTCTAATAGCATTAAGCATTGTTTCTTTTATGTAATCATCATAGTATGGATCAGTGATATGCCTTTAAGCAAGAGTATGTTTTGTTTTTAAGTCGTTATGGCGCATCAACCATATGAAGAATCTTACTCTTTTGGGCACTTATATTCTCCATATTATCTTCCAGTTTCCATTTGTATTGTTGATCCAAATATCATACATTTCTTCATAAGTTATGGCAATGGAAAAAACTTCGTTTGTGGTACCTCTCTATGTGCATTCATCCATGCCCATATCTCTTCTTGGTGGATGAATAGCAACAATCTTGTTCAAAATGTCTTGTTGAAACAAGACTACCAATCTATTCCAATCCCATTCCCTATTTTCCGTTATGAGATCAGCTACTCCCGTGCTTTGTTGGACGTGAGTGTTACCTTGTATACAATCCTTAAGAAAAACACCATGACATACCCAACAATCTTGTCATGCATTTATACTCTCCCTATTGTCAACTATACATATGGCTCTATTGATAAGCATCAGCTAAGAGTTGACTAAATCCATCCATAGGCTAGAGCCATGAAGTTTTGTTTCTCTTAGACCATCCCCAGGGTTATTCCTACCATACTTTCCTTTAAGCATACTACACCACAAGGCTTTGTCACCCTTGAGGAGTTTTCACCATAGATTTGCTAAGCATGCTTTGTTCATTGTAGTTAGGTTTCTCAAACCTAAACCGCCCTCTTTTTTGCTTTTGCAAGCTTGTTTCACTTGATTGTGTGAAGATGTTTTTTTCCATCCAAATCACCCCAAATGAATTACCATTAAGTATTCTGAATCTCTTTCAAGCTTCCACTTGGCATCATATTACTCATCACTGAGTATGTGGGAATGGATTCAAGGACTGCTTTTGCTAAGGTAGCTCTTCCCGCCATGGATAAATGCCTAGCCCTCCACATTGAAAGATTGTTTTTGATTCTATTAATGATATGTTGGTAATCTTTTGATTTGGGACATTTTTTTGTGATTGGCACTCTCAAGTATAGGATTAAGTGTTTGGTTTCTTTAACCCTCTCATTACACAAAGCGTGATTGAACCTCTCATATATTCTAATACCCCCATAGTCGGTGGGTCCTCGCCATGTGAATTTGTGTCCTATGGATTAGATATTCATAAGATTGCAATAGTTGATATGATCCTTAAATAAGTGGCACTTCTAGAATCATGTGGGAGTTCCCTTTCTTTTCTCAGACGTTGACATAATGTCATTGAAGTTACCTCCTATTATCCAACCATCCCTCATGCTCTAAGCCACACTTTGGAGTCTTTCCCATAGCTCTTTTTTGCCTTCTTCCCTAGGGCTCGCATATATCAGAGTAAAGTACCACTCCCTACCATCGTGATGTTTGACCCTAGTGTGAATGGATTTGAAATGAAGGTGATCAGTAGTGATT